GGTCGATATTATTTACAAATTTCTCAAATGAATTTTCAAGAAGCTAAGGTGTTCTGGAGATTGATGAAACAGAGGAAATGAAAGTTTACCGAAAAAAGAAGTTTGATGTTTCAAAAATTCAAAATACTCTTCGGACAAAAAATTGACAATGTCTCATAAAGATTTTATTTCTTCACAAAAATAAAATGTTCCAGTTCTGCTAAAAAGTTCTCAATCTGCATTGAAATTAACTTAAAGAAGATTTTATATATTTCAATACTATGAATGAGTTAAATAACACTTTTCTATTATAATTTGAAGATCCAATCTAATGAGTTTAAATTGTTTTGTAAACTTTTTATCGGGTTTACTAGAATGGATTGATCAGCAGAATTAGAAAATTAGACTAACTAGAAATTTAAGTAAAAATGAGTCCCAGTTTTCTTTTTTGATTGAAGAAGAAATTCTAAGAATATTTCAAACGAAATGAGTAGAGCGATTATGCGTTAGGTTGTAGGATGTCATCAATCTTTGGACATTGTATCGTTTTATTTTTTATTTTTTAAATTTTCATTATTAATGATCTTTGTTGTAAATATTTGCTCTGAAAGAGAATATTTCTTAATTTTGCGACATCAAACATAAAAATTTCTTTTGTTCTTTTCGAGGCAAAAAATAGAATGATTATCTCAACTTTCGAGATAAAAATTGTTGATTGCATGAATTAAATTTACAATCTAATTTGTGTGTCAAAGGAATATTCTTCTCGATAGTTATTAGAAATTACGTGTCTGTTACAATTTATTTTTAAATTCTTTATATTATCTCGAATAATAACGGATGAATGATTTCTTGTGGGATCGAAGGATCGTTGTCGTACCATTAAGTGTAAATATTCGCAGAAAAAATTAAAACTGATATTTATTTCGAATTAGTTGAAAAGGAAAGTATTAAAGTAAGTTGAAATTTCCATAATGGAGATAAAAAATATCATTTATTTTCATTCAATCCTTGCATTTTGCTCTTTTTATTGAAAAAATTGAAAAATACTCGAAATTATGTAAATTGAGAAGTAAATTTTGACCCGCCTTTTAGCGTGCATAATGATCTTTTTAAAATAAATGTAATATAGTAAATTTAGGTCACGAAAAAATTAAAATTGTGACTTAATAATTATTTTATAACATATATTCATCATTTTTCATTCAATTGAAAATACTGACCCAAAAAGAATGAAGAATTATGAATGATGACAAGCATACGGAAGTAGAGATAAAAATTTGAAGATAAGTGAAGAAGGACATGTAATTTATCATTCAAGTTCAATGAATATCAAGATTAACAATATTGCAATTCCATATTTTATTGTCTCTTCTCAATTTCTGATAAGAACATACCCTGAAGGGAGGATTTTCTTCAGCAAATTATCACCTCTCCTTTCACTTTCCTTTCCTTTCTATTTCATTTATTTAATGGGTATCAGTAAAATATCTTCGTGCTATTGACAACAATTATATTTCCAATATTAAATTAAATTTCTATATGAGCTGCAATATCATTTCTGAGAGATTTATTGAAAGGGAATAAGATTTTTTTCGGAAATGATTAAAAAGTTAGTTCAAAGAGAATGTCTTTTTTTTTTTGTTTTTCGCGATCACACTTATTAGTAGTTTTTTTCTCGATAACCGCGATCATCTTCATTATATCATCATCTATTGGATAATTTTCATACGGTCCATTTGTTGAATTATCATCAAATTATTGCTAGTTTAATTTTGACTTTTTTTTTAATTGCAGCTTTTACTATGTTTCCATCCATTTCTTATTATAAATAGAACAAAGCATAATCAGTTTTTAAAAAGTGTACTTTCTACAAGAATTTTTTTTTTGTTGTAAAATATTTTCCAATTTTGATATTTTTATTTCAGAAAAAAACAGATTGGAATAAGATTGCTCTTTGACTTTGATTTTTTTTCAATTTGTGATATCAAAAAACTCAGGTGCAAATATAAATGTTTTTCACTGAAATGAAAATAATTATAGAAATAGAAATATAATGGAAATGGATAGTAATTTCAATTCATTCTAAAATGAATAAATTAAATAAAGAACCATAATTTTCTTTTTTTCATTATATGTTAACAATGATTTATTCGAATTATTCCTTTGAAGCAATTGTTAAATGTTAACATTACTTATGCTTATTCAGATAAAGGTGAAAAGATTGAAGAAATTGTGAGTTTCAACCTGTTTGCATTATTTTTCTTTTTTTTGAGGATAACTGTAAAGGAAAAAGGAATTCAGTGAAAGTAAGAAGCCATCATCGATGGCAACGACACATCTCTTCCTATTGGTAAGGTCATCCAAAGTTAACTTTTAGCGATAACTTTTACATCTTTAAAATTCATCAATGTTTGTTTCCCTTTTTAAATGTTACGCTGTATGACTATAGCATCCAAAAAAACCTATATTTACATCATTTCAGATATTTCCATTGCTATTTCTTGCTGCAGCACTGAACGCGGAAGTTTTAAAAAAGAGTTCGTTTTTCTCGGATTCATTTTTACTGTAACTGATAATAATGATAGACCGCATTCGGTAAAAATTATTATTGGCAAAAATTTACGACAATGTCCCAAAGGACAACAATTGCGTCTTTCAACTTGGCAATTAAATTCTAAATTTTAAAACCGACAACGTTAAGAAAAAAACTTGATTTTTTGTTATAAAATAAGTTAATCATGCAGCCATAATGTACAAAATAATCATAAATGATTAATTCCGTAATCTTTCAATGCAGCTAAGCATGAAAATGACATGATAATTGTAGGAAAGGATTCTTTACTGTTACCTAATTGGACAAATAAATATCGGTTGTAGGATGACTAATTTATTTATGAATTTGTAGTACAATGCGAAAGAGGACCATTAGACGTTGTATTTTTGGTAGATACAAATGATTTCAATAATACCATCGATTTCAATAAACAGCGGAGTAAAATTATTGATATAATCAGGTAAGCATTCTAACCCATTCATATCGGATTATTCTTTCCGGATATATGAAAATATGAAAAAGCATTAGTAAGTTTAAGATCGAAATTGCAGCATGATAATTATCATAACGTAATATGATAAAAAAAATTGATATCTTATATCCGTGGCAATAATCAATATTATTGAAATATGTGATAATCAGAAATATATTAATATATTAAATTACAGATATGCAAATAGAGAGCTAATATATTAAATTACAGACGAAAGTATGATCATTGGTTGTAATCAGTGAGAGTAGTTGTAGTAGTAGTGATAGCATGATATGAATTAATTTTCAGGTATTTAAAAAATATATCAGTGGAACGTGATATCTCATACAGTGTTATAGAATTTCATCGAAATCCCGTCATTTTACTGCCAATTTTATCACCGTTTGCTTCTCAACCTGCGAAGGTTGCTATTAAAATATCACAGATTATTAAATGATAAATATGAGCGATGAGTATTTAAATTAATATACCATCCTATGTATTAATTCTGTATACCACTCTGTAAAGATTTCTGTAAAGGTAGCAGCTGATTATTTTTAGTTTTTAGTAGTTAGCAAATGATAATTATTGATTGAATTTCTGTACTGCAGGTTACTATTTATGCAAATAGAGTAGATAAGAAAATAGAAGTCTAGCATGTTTGATTCGGAATTATTCAGGTAGTAGATTATATCAAAACACTAGAATCTCGTACAAAATTTGACAGTTCACCAGCTCGAGCACTTGAATTAGCTGCAAAACAGTTTATCAATAGCAGTCGTGTTATCTCGAGTAAATTGATTATTCTGGCTCATGATGGTATTTCGACAGATTTGATAGCTGAAACATTGGAAGCTAAGTAAGTTAATTAGCATTTCATTTGCATGAAATTACATCAGAAGCAATGAAATTATTTTAAAAACGATAAAATTTTAAATCTATTTCTATCATTGCTTTATTTTTATTTTTATTATTGCTTTATTTTAGGAATAACTTAGAACGTATTGGTGTGAAATTATTCGCTATCACGTCAACTACAAAACCAAATCTTCCGGCTCTTGTAGGATACACTACAAATCGCCGGTATGTATATGTCACGGAATCTGATCGTGATGTCTTTTATGAGGAAATGAAAAGGGTACGTCACTTCTGAAAACAAGAATTTGAATGTGTGTGTGTATGTATGTGTGTTTGTATGTATTTGTATGTGTGTGTATGTGTCTGTACGTATATGTGTATGTTAAAGTATTAAAATCAAAAAGAGAGAAAAAGATTTTTAAATAAAAATTTGCTCTTTTCATAAAAAAATTTTCAAATAGAACGCTAAATTATTGAAATATGTTGCAATATTATTATTATTATT